TTCTTTTTTCCCTTTTGTGTTAGTTCTTAGGTGCCGAGGGTTTAATGTCGGGGAGGTTCCTGTTGTGTCTAGAGGCTATCCATATCGATAATCTGCATATGCAATTTGCAAGTGATGTAAGACGTATGCTGCATATAAGTTTTCTCCTGTAACTATGCAGTTTCATGTCAAGGCCAAACATCTTTTCTCAAGAGAGCACATAATATTTCTCAGATGCACGGCTACTTGTATATGATCTGCAATATGCTGAATTTGCTCCTGTCGCTTGCATACATATGAAATATGATCATGTTGCTTGCATATGTATGATCTCTTTTGACGACATGATCTGCTAGATGTGAACTTTGGAACGCCATCCACCACCAGTCCACGATTCAGTGAAGATATTGAAACAGCACACCGTTAACCTGATACCACTGCTGGTTAGATGACAGGTAGGTAGAAACCAAGTTGTCATTTTTTTTATGTAGTGTTATTCCACAGGGGAATAACTTGGTCATTGCTGGTTTCACTGGCACATATCTGAGTTGACAATCACAACCAGCACAGGCGGTTGACTGATTGATGTTGCTTTTTGTTGCTGAATTGCTCATGTTCCTTGTTGGTTAATTGCTTAACTATCTCACGCTTTCATAGCCCTTCCTGTCATAATTGATAGGGTTAGTGTGGTAAGCAATAGTACTCCTACATGGCAATTATTTGCTTCACTTCTTAGTTATAGTGGATGCTCTGTTTCCTGTGAGGCTGAGATGTGCACATAAAACTACACATAGACAACTATATACTCTACTGCCGGACAATCTCTCTTTATAGGGCCATTTCGCCTATTGTTGATATTGCCCTTTCAAATGCATTTTTTTGCGAGTGCCTTTGAGGTGCTGTATACATGCATCATCCCAGGCCTGAATAGCTCTGCCCTAAATAGCTAAAGGTAAAAATACAACCAAGCTCAGTGTCTCAGTGATGAGATGAAGTGCATTGACAACCGTAGCAAAAGGCCATATTTCAGGAGAATTACAAATTAAATATTTCGCAAACCAAAATTAAGTTTCTAAAAATTATGTGGTCTAATACTCTGAACTTGTCAGCCCATCATGAACTTTCATTTCTCATGAAATGCACACCAACAATCCCAATAATATAGGTACTAGACCTACTTATTTCCAGCCTGTGTTAACATCTACTCCTGTTTACCCAATGTTAAATAATTCGCAACAATAAACATCTATTAAATAGCATGTTTGGTGTTTATCTCTAGAGCATGTTTTCTTTTTTCTGAACTAGTATGTCTAAGCATGTGAAGGAAATATTGGTATAAGATCATGGGCTATCTCCTTGGCCCAATTTGTCGACCCTGTTTACCTCTGTTCACAGGAGGTATGTCTCGCCTATCGTGCGAGACGGTAGCTCATCTTGCCTCTGGCGCGAGCATGGGCTGGCCCATAACATGTGTTCCATAGCTTCCGGGAGCAGTTTCGGAACCGGTTCGGACCGGTTTTATAAGCTTCCACATGGTTTTTTTCCTTTTGCTTTCCTGTATCGGTTTCATTGTTTTTTTTACATTTTTTTCTGCTCGTTTTTTTATTTTCATTTTTCAAATACATGCATACACTTTTAAAAAACATGGTGAACATTTTTTTACACACATTTTCATAAATGCCATGAACATTTTTCAAACGTTCAAACATTTGTTAAGTGTTACTCCCTCCGATACAAAAAAAAGTCATGGCTTTAGTTTAAATTCGAACTAAAGCTGAACTAAAACCACAACACTTTTTTTGGACTGCAGGGAGTAGATTATATATTTTAAATTTCACAATTTTTTAAATGGTAAGAGATATTCTTTTTAAAGTACATGGTTTTTAAAATATTGTATAACGTTTTTGTAAATGTATCAAACATTGTTTTGAAACTTGTGAACGTCTTTTTCGTTATGAACACATTTTAGGTTGCATGATTCTTTTTTTATTTGTACAAACATTTTTCGAAAAAACAAAATGTTAACACTCCAAGACATATTTTTATAAAAAGTTGTAAACATTTTAGAGCTTTTTCCATATACATATCTATATTTAGAGCATTTTAGGAATTTAAATATAATTTACTAGAATATAAGAAAAGAAAAAACCTCACACTTAAATAAAAAAAGAAAAAGGGCTGTAGTGGGCCGACCCACTAGGAGGTTTGTCCGTCTTGCACGCGGCCAGATGACGCGCCCCTCTGTTTGCTCTGCACATGTGCTGGGGTAAATAAAAAACATAAAACATAATATCAGTTTCCCACTAAATATAATCTCAGTTTCATGCTAAATAATATAAGGTCAGTTTAAACCTTAATCTCAAACCAATCACTAAAAAGCTCAGAATAGGAGTCACTCTGTGCACTTTAAGACTGGAACACACAGAGAACTGATATCCTTGAGGAATGCCTTTTTTGTTGTTGTTGGAGATGATAGATATATGTTTTGGATTAAAGTCACTAGTTATTTCTTGGATATCATTCCATTAATGCGAAGATCACATTATATTTGTAGACCAACAAAAGGCTCATAAATGAAACGAATCCATATTCAGGAATGTGAAGATAACATTAAATTTATAGACCAACAAAAGGCGTTCTAGCCCATAGATGAAACAAATCCATATTCAGGAATGCGAAGATCACATTGAATTTATAGACCGACAAAAGGCATTCTAGCCCATAAATTAAAAAATCCATGTTGAGGATACTAACAAAATCCTTTAGAACAACTTTGTCCCATTTAATGAAGTGGCATCCAAGAAGAAAGTCTATACAAGAACATCCAATATAAAAGGGTGCCAGATCCATCGAGGAATAAGAAGCACACAAATAAGCAACCATGTTCAAATTACTCTCAACACTTGTTCTCCCAGTTTTCTTCCTGAGCTTTGCCATCGCATGGGCGAATCCGAGCAACACGACGGGCCTAAGCTTCCAGCTAGTCGCCCTTAGTCGGGCATGCCAGCAATGGCTCGGCCTACACCACCGAGGACCTGCGTCTGCCGATTTCAACATCGGCCCGGTATGCTTACGGCGTGTTTGTGTCGCTCGGCACCGGGGAAGGCACTAGGCTGAAGGTCCTCGGCCTCGACACCGAAATCAGCACATCGTGGGTGATGTGCGAGCCATGCCACCCGTCGCTGCCGCAGGTCGGCAACCTCTTCTCACCAAGCGCGTCGCCCACATTCCACGGCGTCCACAACAACGATCCTGTTTGCACCACACCCTACAGGAAGACGGCTCACGGCTGCTCCTTCCACTTCTCTTCGGTCACCGGGTACCTCTCGCGCGACACCTTCCACCTCCGCACCGGCCGATCGGGCGCGATCAGGGAGTCTATTCCTCGTGTTGTGTTTGGTTGCGCACACTCGTCCACTGGGTTCCACAATGACAACACCCTTGATGGGGTGCTCTCCTTGAGCCACCTGCCACTCTCGCTCCTGACACAACTTGGTGGGCATGCCAGTGGGAGGTTCTCCTACTGCCTCCCCCTGCCCACCGTGCACAATCCCCATGGCTCCCTCTTTCTCGGCGCCAACGTCCCAAGCCCTCCGCCGCATGCCCACACGACCAACCTCGTCATACGTCCCGGCGTCTCGGGCTACCACCTCAACCTCGTCGGCATCACCCTAGGGTACAAGCGTCTCAAGATCGACAAGCGCGTCTTCGACGGCCACAGTTGCAGCATCAACCCAGCGGAGACCATCACACATTTCGCGGAGCCGATATACCTTGTCGTGGAAAAAGCATTGGTGGCGCGCATGAAGGAGCTAGGGTCGGACCCGGTGAAGGGGCCACCGGGCGGCCCGCTTTGGTTTGACCGGATGTACAAATCGGTGAAGGAGCAGCTCCCCAACATGGCGTTTCACTTTGAGGGCGGCGCCGAGCTGTGGTTCACATCGGATCGGCTGTTTGAGGTGCACGGCATGAACGCAAGGTTCATGGTCGCCGGCCGTGGGTACCGCCGGACGGTGATTGGCGCCGCACAGCAGGTGAATACGCGGTTCACGTTCGACGTCCCCCGGGGGAAGCTGTCCTTCGTGTCGGAGGTGTGCGACTGAGACGGGGCAGGCAGCCTAGCTTTGTTCTTGCTGTATTTCAGGAAATAATCGCCAATTTGCATTCATATATCATATTGCCGAATGGCCAGTGTTATTTCCAACTTTTTTTTTGAACACAGTGTCATTTCCAACTTGAAGCACGTTCGTATGGACGTTTTGTTAAATTTAAAAGATCTGCAAGAATATGCAGCTATGTAGGCACTATTGTTGATCATCATTTGATCGTCAAATTGGCACTAGCGGAATGTCTCCCTGAGGTCAAGGTTCGCTACCTGCGCAGTACTGCCATATATAATGCTCTAGATGCATTGATCATTAATTATTAGTTGATCCACGCAAAAAAAGAAGCTATTATTGATCATGATTGACAAGTTTAACTGTATAATAAATTTTTTTGTAAGAGTTGGCCTAGTGGAGTAGCTGGGTTGTGCAAATCTTAACCTGCTTGCCCCGAGCACTATACTTGTCGTGTAGGGAAAGTGGTGGTTGCACCCACACAATGAACAGTAAATTTGAAAAAAATAGTAAAAAATCAAAAAAGATTCTGAAACTTCGTGGATGCGATCATGACCAAATGTTTAAGGAGCTTGCAAAGTTTGGTCTCCAAAAAAAACATCGAATGTTCTCCATACAAATGACGCTCTGCACCCAAGTTATTGTTCACATGTTTTCAGCATAAACTTTGTTTTCTTTTTGTACAGAGCTCCCCGGATCTCATTTCCCCACCAAGTTTTGCAAGCACCTAAAACATTTGGTCATAATCACATAAACAAAGTTTCAGATTTTCTGAAAATGTTTTGCTAAGTTTTGATCATGGATGCACCGGCGGTGCAATGTCCCTGGGTGCACAAAAACCAAACTCTGTCGTCCATAAATACACCGCTGATCTCTCTGTTCACAGCACACAAGTAAACAACCCAGCTTCGATCAATGACAGCTCTAAAACAGCAGTAGCTACAAATACAATTCTCAATCAAAAAGGAAAGGTGTAATATGTATTTATGTAGCTATTGGTCAAAGAGCATACTTCGTGTCTTTGTGAATGAGGGAGCCATGGAATACAAATTTATAGCACCTGACGTGGTGGATTCATCTGCTACATTACAATATCTCACTTCTACACAGGAGCAGCCCTGGTTGAGTATTTTATGAACCGCAAACGACATACTTTAATAAGTTATAATGATCTCTCCAAAGAGGCACAAGCTTATCGGCAAATGTCCCTTTTAGTAAGAAGGCCTCCCGGTCGTGAGGCTTATCAAGGGAATGTTTTTTATTTGCATTCACGTCTTTTAAAAAGAGCCGCTAAATTAAATTTTCTTTGTGACGAAGGAAGTATGACCACTTTGCTAATAGTTGAGACTCAATCTGGAAACATTTCTGTCTATATTCCTACTAATGTAATCTCCATTATATATAGATGAATAAATATTCTTATCTGTGAATCTATTCATCGCCGGAATTTGACCCGCTATTAATATGGGTATTTTTGTTTCAATAGTAGGATCCGCAACTCAAGTTAAAGTCATGAAACAAGTAGCTGACAAATCTTAATTGGAACTAGCTCAACTCGCAGACTTACAAGCCTTTGCACAATTCGCCTCTGCTCTTGATAAAAGAAGATAGAATCAATTGGCAAGGGGTTGATGACTAAGGGAATTGCTTAAACAATCCCAGGCAAATCCTCTTCCGGTGGAAGAGAAGATAGCTACTATTTATACCAAAACAAGAGAATATCTTGATTCGTTAGAAATAGTATAGGTAAATAAATTTATGGATGAGTTTCGTAAACACCTAAAAGATATTAAAACTCAATTCCAGGAAATTATATCTTCTAGCAAGACATTCACATAGCAAACAAAAACCCTTTTGAAGGGGCTTTAAGCTGAGGAACAAGGCCCATGCGCTTGCATGATCCAATATCTTATCAACCTTTGGGGTGTGTATGTATATGCTGCCCGTACATTGGGTGGTTCAATTCGGTCAAGGAAAAATATTGGGTGGTCGAATTGATCATTAGAAAATTATGACCCTTTCAAGTTTTCAAGCGAAGGATGCTCTCATCTTAAGCTTATAATAATCAAATTTATAACTCTAACTGAATAGTAGTCCCCCATCCATCTTCATACCAAAACCAACATGACTCGTATATTCAGTAAAAATGAGGCCCAAATTTACACATTCATACACACGCTGTCCCGTGAAATGTGCCAAGGTGTCCACAATGATGCCACTTGTTAGCTGGCATAATTTACTTAGTTTTTATTTATTTCTTGCTGCACTCTCCTATGCATGTATTTTCCAAGTAATCAAGAGCTTACGAAGCGGTCCTGATCCAGGGAAATTGATAATTACGAACTAATAGTTCGACCACCATCGATGCAGATGACTTGGCCGGTGATAAAAGAAGCTGCCGGCATGCATAGGAATGACACTGCTGTGGCGATCTCCACCGGCTTGCCGCTCCGTCCCAACGGGGTCTTCAAGTGCTCTTGCTTCATAAACTCGGTATCAATCTATGAATCGACAATAAACAATTGTTATCCACATTTAATTTTAAGAAGATGTGAAAATTGCTAGCAGTTTGAAAAAAAAGGCTTCTAATTTCTTGGTTGGAGAGACTAGAGAACAAGCTATGCAATACAGATTTTTTGTCCGTGAATTAGTGATTGGCAATATCAATCCGACAAGCTCTTGTATCATAGTGAAAACAGCGCTAGCACTTGCTTCGGTCTATTATGATATGGCTATTTTGGTGCAAATAATACATCGTTTGGAAAATTATAATGTTTCCCTCCCAATATAAAGTGAACTTATTATCTCATGAGATATCTACAAAAATACGGTTTAATTTCATATGTTGTTGTTTAAACAAGAAAAATGCATGCTAGACACTACTTACATCTTTAATCATATCGGTTGTGATAAAACCTGGGGCAATGGCATTCACACGGATCTTGTCGGGGCCCCACTCGGTGGCCAAACTCCTCGTAAGCTGGTGTATTGCACCTAAATAGTAAAGGACAAATACAACCATAAAAAAATCCACTTAATTTTAGGTACCAAATAATATTTTAAAATTCATAAACGATGGACGCACTTTTGTTGGGATGATACAAACAAATGTCATTATTGTATATTTTGGCAATGAAGTGCACATGTAGATACCTTTTGTGGTAGCATAAATTGTGTAGCCTGCAAAGCCGATTGAACCTCCAATAGAGGACATGTTGATGATGGTGCCTCCTCCGGCAATAGAAGCGTGTAGGAGAAGAGGGTGTGCGAGTTGGCTGAGATGGAAGGTTGACTCCAAGTTGGTATTCATCAGATTCGAGTATTCCTCCCCTGTACATCCAACAGTGGGCTTGTAGAACAATTGTGCCGCATTGTTCACCTATGTTATTTGGATGAAGGGAGATTTTACTAACTCATAATAATGTCGCGTCGAGGCGTCAAATATAGAACTTACTCCCTCCGTCTCGTAATATAAGATCGCTTTGCAAACTACATGGCATGTTTATAACTTCCGTATAAAGGGAACGTATAACTTACTAGTATGTCGAGCTTGGAGTGGAAGGTTTGCCGGACCGTGTCCATAAGCTTCTCCCTGTCGGCTCCTATGGACACATCACAGACAGAGACGGTGACCTGGAGGTTCTTCTCCTCCCACCGCCGGCGGCACTCCTCCAGCTCCGCTGAGTTCCGGGAGCAGGTGTGCACCCTCGCCCCAAACCTAGCAAGCTCCTCCACGATGGCATGTCTATTCAAGGACAACTTAAAATGAGGGTCGGAGCAACATGTACAACACTACTAACTGCATTGGTAGAATGAAGAGATGCATGCGTGCATGTGTGAACATATGCTATACCCTATCCCTTTGCTGCCGCCGGTGACGAGCGCGGTGGCGCCGGCCAGGCTCCAAATCTCCTCCCTGCTCCCGCAGTCAGCAGCCATCTCGTCCGGCCCCTAGCTCTGTCGCTCGCTCAAATGAGTGAATTGTCTGTTGGTTGTTGCCACGGACAACTAGCTAGATCCAGTTTATATAGCTAGGACAGGAACCCAAGGCACGCACAAGAACTCAACAAATTAAGCTGTCAACGTCTCCACAAGCTGGAGAAGGCAGGCACACATGACATGGTCACATGGCCGCTAATTCGTGCATTCCGACGATGTATGTATTTCACCGCTTCTGACCAAAGATACGGCCGGCCGCCGTCAATGTGACATGCCGCTACGCTTACTTAATTTGCAGGTGATAACATTGTATATATGCCAAATGACGAACTAGCTTTGCAGGCGATACCATTAACTATATATATACGGCCAGTGACGAACCAACAGTGAAAGATGGAGACCATTATAATAGTGACTTGGTCGGTTTGGAATTTTCAAGGGCATCAAGCCTAACCTATTCTTAGGGCCGGCAACGAGGAAGGCGTATACACAGGCTTCTGTTGTGTGTGCTATCAAATAATCTCATGCTCCACGTGCTCGATGTTGTCATGGGCAATGTTTCTGAGCTTTATTGAGGTCCCAAAGGAGC